CAGTAAGAAGAATTGCAGCAATAAATTAGAGTTTTGATAAACTATGATTAAAAATGTTACTTTATAATATGCTTCAAAGAAAGCTTCTTTTTTTGTATACTCATTGAGTTAAAGCAAGTAGTAGAGACAGCTTCTCCAGGTTACCTTATATTAGTAATATTTAAGCAGCTCTGTATACTTCAAGGAGATTTTACAAACCTAATCTAACTTGGTTCTCTTATCAGCTTAGGGGCTAGATAATATTTTTATTCATGTTTAACAGATAGGAAAATGAACTACACATGTATTCCAACTGGAGTAAGTTCTACTTTTATCTGTTTTATATGTTGGGCTCATGTGAAATGCTTTGTTTGAACAAAAAGACCATAACAAAAATGTTTGCAAATCACTCACCTACACCAGGCTTCTCTCTCTATATAAATACATAGCTAAATTCTTTAGAGTTGTATCATGCTGATTTTTAGTAGAGAAATATTTAAATTCGTTGAAAATATAAATTTTCTAAAATACAGTTAGGTCTTAAAATATTCTTCAGGGCTTAAAAACAGTTTTGAAACATGTTTTTATTGCTTGCATTTAAATTGCTTTGAATCATATAAAGCGAAATGTATTCATGTTAGATAAAAACTTCTAAAATAAATCTGATCTTAGGGACATATATAAAAGTTCTCCTTGCTTTTGAGTGGCATGATGAATATTCTATAGCAAATATGTATGTGTTAATGATAGAGGGGCATGCTGTGGCTTTTTCAGTCTAAATTATAGAGATTAATTGCTTCAAAGCAATATAATTGATATTAAGAATAGGTCTTTATAAATTAAAATAATAGATTTATTGTAAATTCAAATGAATTAAATAATATACATAGTTGGTTATATTTAGACATACTAGTTTGTATTAAGCTATGTAATAAGACATGGCATTACTTTTAATTGATAATAGCTCTTAAATGACTATGAACTGTTTTGAATTGATGGTAGCATTTTTTGTGTAAATAACATAGGTAGAGTAGAATTTTCAGTTTTGGGGGGATGGATAGGAATTGGTTCATGGTGGGAAAAGGCTTGTCTTTAATATGACTACTTATGTTTCATTAAGAAAGAGTGACTCAGTCTCTCTTCCTTGAATAAGATGTTCCTTCTGTGAGCACTTAATATGATTTGAGAACTTTCTTTGAGTTCACCAGCTTGTGTTGACATTTTGAACTTTTCTCAAATAATATATGGATGAATAAGGAAAAAGGATTATGACTCTATAAAAATACACAAATATTTTCCTCCAAATTAAACTGATTTACATATTTTATTTTATTTTATTTTTTTGAGTTGGTGTCTCACTCTGTCGCCCAGACTGGAGTGCAGTGACCACTCCCGGCCACCGCAGCCTCGACCTGCTGGGCTCCAGCAATCTTTCCTCCTCGGCCTCCGGCAATCCTTCCTCCTCAGCCTTCCGAGTAGCCGGAACTACAGCCATGTGCTACCATGCCCGGCTGATTTTTTTGATTTATTGTAGAGATGAGGTCTCGCTGCCCAGGCGGATCTCGAACCTGCGGGCTCAGGCAATCCACTCACCTCAGCCTCCCAAAGGTACGGGATTACAGGCTGAGCCACCGAGCCTGGCTCCTGATTTACATCTTGAATACTCCTTGAACTTTCTAGTAAAATGAGCAAAAGATACAGAATTGTTAAAATTTTAAAAATTCACTAGCATTTACTTAATGTGGTTTTAGGATGATATATAAATTAATCACAACATTATGATCTTTGTATTTGCTGTGTTATAAAGAAGGAAAGAACATTATTTTTCTAAGAACCTATTCTAATTTTTCAATTTGATGATAAGATGTTTTTTTCCCAATAAGCAAGTTTTCTAGGGTACCTGATTTCTGTTTTATTTTCTTTGAAAACTGTTGTAGTAACAGGATATTTCTAGAAATCAACCTTATTTGAGTATGGAAGAAAGGTTACTTTTCAGCCATACATTTGCAAGAAAAAAAATAAGTGTCGATAAAGTAGTCAAGTTGTAGCTTCATCATTAAAAACGCTGGCTTATTATGTAAAATAAGGTCATTTGGCAAGCCCATGTGATTGATTTGGAGCTTTAAGGTTTAATATTAACAGGTCTGGGGCTGATGAAACAAACACAGAAAAAGCATGAAAGCACAAGAAAGAAGGCACTCAGACTGGGCAGGGTGGCTCACACCTGTAATCCCAGTACTTTGGGAGGCCAAGATAGGAGGATGGCTTGAACCCTATAGTTCAAGACCTGCCTGGGCTACCTAGTGATACCCTATCTATATTTTTAAGAAATTAGCGAGGTTTGTTGGTGCACACCTGTAGTTCTAGGTGTTAGTGAGGCTGAGGTAGGAGGATTGTTTGAGCTTAGGAGGTCAAGCCTGCAGTGAGCTACAATAGCATTACTGGTGAGACTCTGTCTTGGATGGGAGGGTTGGAGGGAGGAAGGAAGGAAGAGAGAAAGGACACTTTGCTTGTTTGTTACAAGAACTAGAGCATAGGTTGTGTGAAATTGCTAAAAAATATATATAATACATACAGTGTACATATATATTTATTTTCACTTACATAGATATATATTTTATTTTCTTATCTCCATTTGTGTTTAAGCATCATTATTATTATTGCAATGATCATTATGAGCATGAGCATTCTTGTTATTGTTTGTAGTCATCCTAGTGTACATATTACTATTATTATGTTGTTGTTGTTATGAACATTGAATAAAATTTCTCTATCCAGGAAAGATGTGTGATTTACTGAAGAAGATGACACAGTATTTCCCTAAAAACATGGAGCACACAACAGCTCCTGGGTGCCCAAGATACCTCCCAGTACCATTTTTCTCATCTTCTCAAGGCATCCAATCTCCTTTTCCCATCTATTGACACACTCCCACTGACTCTCTGTAATGCACTCTCAGAATTCCAGTTCACATACAGAAGATCAACATGCACTCCCCCCGTCTCTGAATATATAGACATCACACACTCTCTAAATACACAATCCCATATGTGTCCAAGGCAAGGCATAAGCTAAAATATTCTACATTTTTCTTTCTTTTTTTTCAGGAGGAGGGATACAAACAATGTTTCTTTTTTTGTTTGTTCTTGCTTTATTTTAAAGCTGTAGAGTACAATTCAATATTGAGTACATAAGTAGTTTAGGTACAGGTGAAGTTTTGGTCCTCCCATTAGACCTCACTTTGCCTGGTATAGGATCAGACTCCCTTATTGATGTTATGTGCCTCTCCCACTCCCTCCCCTGGCCGAGTCCCACTACTGCCAATCCCTTTCTTGTAGTATTATGATAAATGTTCAGGGTCCACTTATGAACGAGAACATGTGGTACTCAGTTCTTTGTTTCTGTGATAGATCACTGAGTATGATAGTCTCCAAAATCATTCAGGTTGCTGCAAAGTCCATAATACATACATATTTAGATGATTGCAAAGTAAAATTGATTGTTCAAGGTTCAAATAAAACCTAATCATAATTCATGTCACTAAATGAACCTTAATGTATTATTCAACTTTGTGACTGATGGATTTTAGCCATGTAAAATGATGATTATTTGACAAGAGTATTGTTAAAAACAAAGTGCTTTTTGTATCACTGTTTTTACTTCTTTAGTGAACTTTGGGTAGCTGATATGTGAATACATTTGTGGAGTCCTTTATGTTATCCAAGGTTTATCTTCTCCCTGGATTCTTTTTTTGTGTGCACAATTTTCATTCTATTCAAACCCCAATATAGTAAATATGCAGTAATTGGTTATTACTTTTATTTCAGGTAACACCAGACTCTAAGCTCTAGAAAGTGAACAGAAGATGCAATCTTATATCTAAGAGAATAGATGAGGGCGAAACATATGCACACAGATACAAAATAATGGGAAAAGATTAAAAATCAGTTAAACACTTAAGTAAAAGGAAAAGTAGTGGAAACTGAACATTTTGCTCTATGTGTATCCAAATACTATAGCTTTGTATATAGCTTCAGTCTGGATGAAGAACTTTTTCCACTTCTCTCATGGTTCTGAAATTTTTGAAAATGGAATCAAACTGTACTTTTAAGTTTGACAAAGGAAATCTATCAATTCATTTTTTTCTAAAATTCTCTTTGGAGTAAAGCCAATCAGAAATCTTTGTGATTGGACATGTATTCTATCTATAAAGCCACATAAAGAATATTCGGAATGGGACCATACTTCCCCACTGGTTACTCAGTTAGACCAAATTTTCCTCTGAAAGAAGTGAGTATGGGAGCAGTAAGCACTAACAAATGCCTTTTGTCTGCTGTGCAGAGGCAATGTGGATTGCATCGTGTTAGGCTTCATCAACCACCTAATGCAATGTAACTTGGGAGATAAGATAAATCAAAAGAATGACACTATATTAGATTTGAAAGATGAGCGCTCTTCCAATGTAATTGCAGAGTATATATTTCAGTGCTGTTGACTTCAGGAGATTATTGAAGTCAGAAGTCTTTGCAACAAAACCAATCTTTTAAGAGCTGGGTAGCAAGTAAACAGAGTTATGCTTTTTTCTGCCAAACAAAATTTCCGAGACAAGAAACAGAATTCTCTTTTGTATATTTCTTTTATACAGCTTTGGTAGTTAACCTCATTTTTTATTGTAGCTCCAACTTAGATATTTACTTTTTAAAATACATCTTATGTACAAATGTGTAGTCAGTAGGAGAGAGAGATTTTCCTGTTTAGGGATATTTTCATCTATTGCTAAACTATTCTGAGTGAAAGTACCTACAATTAACTGATATGGGTCATTTTTCATAATATCTGTGATTCTACATATTGGTAAATGACTAAACTTATCAATTCTTTTTAAAATAAAGTGGTATGATTTCTATTTTTAAAAAAATTCTGAGACTTTGCATTTTCTGTTTATTATATGAAATGTCTAATTTCATTTAGGAATTGAGAGTTGGAAAAAGTGTTATAATTAGTTTCCCTTTCTTTTGTAGCCTACTGTGTGTGAACGGGAGCTGTGTGTATTTGCTTTTCAAACCCTGGGAGTAATGAATGAAGCTGCTGATGAAATAGCAACTGGAGCCCAGGTAGTCGCATGATGCTAATTATTTCTTATTTTGTTTTGAAAAATTTGTTACAGTCCACTCATTACCTTCATTCCGCTACTCTTTGGGGAAAATTTTTTATCGCTTCTTATTAAAAGGCAAACTGGCATTTGATATAGTTTAGATATAGTCTAATTTTTTTCTCTTCATCTGATGTGTGTTTTGTCACTTTGAAATTGCCAATGGTAGAAATCAAGCCAACTTTCTACTGTTTGAAAAATAATTATAATTCTTTCTTACGTGGTAAACTTGAGATATTGAAACCCTTGTACATGCTTTATGTAAAATTTATTTGTAAAGCTATACTACCATAAAACGGAAGACCATTTATTTTTAAAACTTAGATAAAAGACAATAGACAGAACATATAATAAAACAGGAGCATTTAATTTTACAGTAGCAGTGTTTATGTGATAGGAAGAAGCAGTTCCACCCACATTCAGATGCTTTTTTTTTTCATTTAGGGAACCGGACTAAACTTCTAATTCATTTACTGAAAAAAATCAAGAAAAATTTAAAAAAATAATTTGTTAATTAAGAGAGGGTAGAACAACCATCTACAGAAACAAATTATATGCAATGCTGTAATATTTTATATACAATGCTTATTACATGCAATGTTGTAATATTTTAGCAAAATACTATATTAGGAAAAAATAAGATGGCAGATTATCCCCAAAGTGGATCAAGTTATAAATAAATTTAATGCATGTTAAAGTAGGTATCACATACTAAAGAATTATTTAGTAAGTGAGGTTGGAACAAATAACCCATACCAGGGGTGGAGGTGGGGTATCAGTTTAGCTCTTTACCTTACTCTGTATGCAAAAACATCTTCTAGGTGGCTTAATGAATAGTTTATTTTAACAAATTATATTTCTTAGAAGAGTAAAATTGAGCATGCATATGTACAATCTAAGGCGGTGCATCAGGCTTATGTTTATGTGGTTTTTAGAAATTGTAAAGGGAAATATCAACAGATATGAGACTATATGTACTTTATGTTTTTTACTTGAAAAAATAGTGAATATTTAGAGTAAAGTAGGAAAAAGCTTCTTTTGCCACAAGTGTGATGATATAAAAGCCCCCCAAAAATGAGAAAGAAAAAGCATGAAGACTATAACAGATTAATAGAGGAAATCAATGCAAATTCACAAAAATAGACACATGATAAAGACAAGAGAAAATATTCAGCTTCACTAAAACTCAACAGGAAGTTAAGTGTAAAAGGAATTACCAATCTCATCTATAAAATTCTCAAAGATGAGTGGAAAAAATGATAATACAAAAGAATATTGACATTCTTTCCACAGGTATGGAATGCCTGCTGTGTATTAGACATTATACTAGACGAAAGGTCAACAGTTTTAACATAGATGGCAGCGTAGGCCTTTTGAGTTTACATGTCCCTTAACCTAGTCATTTCACTGATTAACTAAAATATGACATATCTACCTGATGAAATACTGAGGATAATATTTTTGGTATACTTGAATTATAAATGAAAAATATTATAAAGTCTTAATGTGATATGGAGAAAATTATTCCATTATTAAAATAAGTTTAAAAAAACACAGCTTGTTTTGCCCTATACACAACATGCACAAATTTGCATATTAAAGGTTCTAATAATTCCTAAAACTGAGAAAATAACTTGTTTGTACTTACAGGGTTGCTCAAATGTATCTTATCATGGAGAGTCTATTCTTTTTAAAAAGATTTAATATGAAAGTTTTTCTCATCCCTTGGAAATAATAGTGTTAAAAGAAAAAAGGTACTTTAATATACATGGTATTTATGGTACATAAAAATAATTAAAACCTTACAAGGTATATGTATGTATGACTATGCATACATGTATATAACAAGATACATCTATCTGTATTGAAATTCTTTAAGTAGTACACTTAAAATTTGTGCATTCTACTGGATATACATTTTCCCTCAAATAAAGTCTAGAAATAGTAAATTATCAATTAGAAGGAAGACTGACATTATTATGCTAATAGTAAGGTAGGTTGATAGAATAGTAGGTGGCTTTTTTCTTTATCATAATTGCAGCTCCAAAAATAATGGTTCTTAGAAATGAATTTTAAATTATATAATGATACTTACACACCACCAGTGTTTGATCCGTTCAACTTAGTGATTTAACTTTAGAGATCAGTATTCAGAAATTAGATAATTTAGTGATTCTATTCCAAAGACAACATTCTTCTCACTACTTTATTTTTTAAAACAAGTGCCCCAGTATTCTGGTTGTAATTCTAAAGATTACATGGAAATCACTTCTCTTTCTAAATAGAAACTCCACTTTAGTAGATTCATTGCATCATTTAACCCCTGTATTTTAAGTGGTGCTCTGGGGACGACAAGGACATTCCTCAGGCCCACTGCAGGAAACTCAACTGGGACGACGATGTCCTGTGGTCCAAGCAGCTACCGTTCTGGGTCCCCAAATACTACTTCAACTGGAACAACTCTGTGTTATTTGTTTATGTATTGGGTTCTCAAATAAGATTTTTTGAAAGTCACAATTGCAATATTGGGTAATCATTGGATTGCAATTCTGAATCTGCTTCTTTTTTTTCAGACTACATTGTATATCTGTAGGTTCCTTTCTAACCCATGTGGACTTACAGTCAGTAAATGATTCATGAATGAATTTTTTTCATTTGCAAGGGCTCTGATGTCTTTCTTACCTGAAATGGGGTGGGGAGTTGACCTATCAGTTGAATTGTTTGTAATGTAATGTCCTTTGGAGGCCACCTGATTCTATAAACTCACGGACATTTTATCTTCACTTATCAAAAGGCCTAATTCCCATTGCTTGAATTTAATTTTATTTCTATCCTAAGTCTTAGTTAACCTCCAGATTTCTTCCTAATTATATTATTCAGCTGAAGAAGACAGATGTGTATAACTTTTTCCCTACACTATTGAACATTTATACTAAAATACTATTTAGAATCTTTAGTTTAAAATGCTAGGGATGGGGAAATATATCATCTGGGCTAAAAAAAAAAAAAAGGATAGTTGTGTGTTATCTTTTGTTGTTGTTGTTGTTGTTGTTGTTTTGAGTTGGAGTCTCACTCTTTCGCCCAGACTGGAGTGGCTGCTCCCGGCCACCGCAGCCTCGACCTGCTGCGCTCCGGCGATCCTTCCGCCTCAGCCTTCCAAGTAGCCGGAATTACAGGCATTCGCTACCATGCCCGGCTGATTTTTTTATTTTATTGTAGAGACGAGGTCTCACCTGCCCAGGCAGGTCTCGAACCCGCGGGCTCAGGCAATCCACTCACCTCAGCCTCCCAAAGGCGCGGGATTACAAAATATAGACGTTTTACTTCATGAAAGATTTAGAAAAATTAAGGTACACAAAATAGTATTATGTGAGCTTTTCTCTGTTAGAAATTCTGATGCTAGCTTTTGTAACAAATAAACCATAATCACCCTGGCTTAGCATGATGGAATTTTATTTGGCATTCACACACTGTCCAGTCAGAATGTTTGGTAGGCCACTTTCCATGTGATGACTGAAGGTCCTGCACTCTTCCCATCATGTGGCCCTGCTGTCTTTAATACATGATACAGTAGAGAGAAGAGATAAAGTGGAGAAGGCACACCTTCATCAGGTTGCCTCTGTTGCACTTATGGCCTACTGGTTAAAGCAGGTGGTCATAAGATCGTGTGGAGCCCAAAGAGGCGTCTCTTCCCGAGCAACTGTTTCCAGGCCATAACTCTGTGCCCCCCAAGCGAGTGAGGAGTTTGAAACTTTGGTGCATGGCATGTAATTTTGCCACAATAGTTATATTCTTTCTTTGGAGTTAAGCTAGGACATATATTAACAGCAATACTGTACTAAGTAAATTCTCTATACCCATATCCATTCTTACATTATTATTTACTTAAATCCACTAGTGAGAATTTTGGTCAACAAAATGCATGGACTCTTAAAAGCGTCAATCGCATACTATGACATAATTTTTAAAAGTTTTTTTTTATGAGAGTGTATCAATCTGTTCCATACCCTCACCCCAAGTTTTCCAAAAAGGCTTTATCTACTGTTACTTCTTCCTCAAGAATTTATCTTACTGTTTCTTCTTCCTCAAGAACTGTTGTTGAGGTTTCAGCTACATTAGGAGAATAGATAAATAATGCTGAAAACAATTTGTATCTGTGTTAAGATGCAAATTTCTCTGGGATAGAAGGAATATGAGTGTATAAACACACACATACCTAAATGAAATAGTGTGTTGGAAATATTAGCTGCTTCAGTTCTAACGTTTTCTGAGTCCTGTGGATGTATATGTCTATGCACTTGGGGCATGTTATGTCCAGTGACTTGAGTGTTGCTAATTATTTTAGGTCACTGGAAATTCTGGATGCTGTGATTGGGTGGGTGTGTTTTATGAATACCCACACAATATAGTGAGCCCTACTGTTATTAGGGCACAATGTTTCTCTTGTTAAAGCAGCATATTAAAAATTGTCCTCTCTTACTGTGCATTTTTATTTTTTCAATTTTTTCAATTATTTTATTTTTGAGCCAGAGTCTCATTCTGTTGCCCAGACTGAAGCGCAGTTTCATGATCATAGCTACCGCAGCCTTTACCTGCTGGGCTCAGGCCATCTAGGTCAGCCTTCCAAGTAGCTGGAACTATAGGCATGTGGCACCAATTTTGGGGTTTATTGTAGAGACAAGGTCTCAACGAGTTGCCCAGGCTGATCTAGAATTCCTGGACTCAGGCAGTCCTCCCACTTCCACCTCCAGCTCCCTAAGTGCTGGGATTATTGGTGTGAGCCACTGCTCCTGGCCTTACTGTGCATTTATTTATTTATTTAATTTATTTATTTATTTATTTATTTGAGTTGGAGTCTCACTCTGTCGCCCAGACTGGAGCATGGTGGCCGCTCCTGGCCACTGCAGCCTCGACCTGCTGGGCTCCAGCGATCCTTCCGTCTCAGCCTTCCAAGTACCAGAACTACAGGCGTGTGCTACCATGCCTGGCTGATTTTTTTATTTATTGTAGAGATGAGGTCTCGCTGCCCAGGTGGGTCTCGAACCCGTGGGCTCAGGCAATCCACTCACCTCAGTCTCCCAAAGGCGCAGGATTACAGGCTGAGCCACCGAGCCCGGCTGTACTGTGCATTTTTGAACGCCTATTTAAAAACTGCCTAGAAATAGTGCATATATATATGCAGGTGTGTATTTGCCTGCTACTTTCCAGTAAGTCACTTGTTTTCACCCTATAGATGGTGTCAGTTGTCTTGATTAAGTTGCCAGGAATTCTGGAGACTGGGAAAGGGATCCATGCTCTTTTTTTTTCTAAATCAGAGGCTCACTCTGTCACCCAGGCTGGAGTGCAGTGGCACACTCAATGCTACCGCAGCCTCGATCTGTTGGGCTCATGTGATTCTTTCTCTTAAGCCTTCCAAGTAGCTGGCACTACAGGTGTGTGCTACCACGCTCGGCTTATTTTTTGATTTGTTGTAGAGACGAGGTCTCACTTAGTTACCCAGGCTGGTCTTGAACCCCTGAGCTCAGGCAATTCTCTCGCCTTGGCCTCCCAAAGTGCTGGGATTACAGACTTGAACCACTGTGCCCAGCTGGGAGCCATGCTCTTAACTGGTGTAGTACTCTCTCTTAGTAGACTGTGCAAAGGGATCATAAGATTCATAAGAATAAAGTTATTGTGCTTAGCAAATTAAAGGTCATGAATGGTCTGTGACAGGAGAGTAGGGAGAATCAAGATTATATGAGGCAATTTGCTGTCCCTGGAGCAAGCCGGGCTTTCCCTGCTTGCGTGGCTTTCTTCACTTGTAACAGTTTCTCCCCACAGGGTGTCATGTCTCCCTCCTTCACTTCATTTAGGCTTGGAGATATCACTACCTCTCTTAGCCACCTAACTCAGCACCCTCTTCTGCATTATACTTTAATACTTACTTTATTTTTAGACTTCTTAATAGTACTGAAAATTCTGTAGTGCATGTATTTCTTTAACTGTTTTTTTAAATTACATATCTTCTCCATTAGACTGTAAACTTCACCAAAACAGGGTCCTGTCTTATTTATCTTACCATAGGGCCTAGAGCAGTGCAATACATGATAAGTACTCTTGACAAAGAGCTATTAGAATGTGAGTATTGAGAGGCAGCACATATTTGTTAATTTAAATTGGAAGTCAAGTTTAGCTAAATTTGGTCTAAAGTCCTGAACTGCAGATTTAGGAGGTTCAGAGCAGTTTTGGTACATCACTACAGCTGCAGGAGAGTAATTGTCTTATGTGTGTGTTTCAAGGTGGTGGATCTGCTAGTATCAATGTGTAGGTCTGCGTTGGAATCTCCTCGGAAAGTGGTCATTTTTGAACCATACCCTTCTGTGGTGGATCCTAATGATCCTCAGATGTTGGCCTTCAATCCCAGGGTAAGTAGTCATCTTAGCCCACCAATCACAAAGTTTCCTTTAACAATAATTGAGATTTAGTCTCATCATCTTTCCCCTGTTATCCAAATCTTTGTCTCATCAAGCATTTCATAGCTATGATTATTTTAATTTCATTGTATATTTTTGAGGATTCTGACTTATGTAACCTCATTGTAATTTTAAGAATTATGAGTAGAGGGACAAGGTTTCCTTTTACTTCTATATCTACTTCCCCATCTCCCTCCTCAAGTGTCTGAAGGTTAGTGAAAGTTTAATTCATATTGTTAATGGACCAGCATTTCTTAAGAAAACAATTTTATAAATATTTATGAAGATTAGGCCGAATCCTTCTTAAATAACAAAATTTTCAAATTGTATAAGAGCCAAAATTGCCTTAGTTTCTATTACTATTTATTTTGAAATAATTTTATAGAAACAATGTAAAATTTTTTGGAAGAGCGTTCCTTCATAAGTGGCAACAGTGCACAAATTTGCATTATGCTTAAAATGAATTATCTGCTAAGTGATTGTATGCTGTCGTTTGCACACTGTCAGCTATATTGTTTTAGCAACAATATTCCAATTAAAAGAAAAGAAAAACAATTGTGGAATTTGAAGTGGGTTTTTGTATTTTGGAAGGATTTTAAACTTACTCTGTTCAACATGGCTTAGTATTATAGTGGTAAAAGCCTGAATCAGGAGCCCTATATATTTCTTGTATTTCTAGATTTTTCCTCTGTAGGCTGAATATGATTTTTGTATTTATCTAATGACTGACATTGTTTTCTTTTTTTCTTCCCTTTGACTCAATTTATAAATTCTATGTCCTTGAGCCATCTTATTATAATCTTCTCTTCTATATACACAAAATAGTCATTGTTTTCAAATTGATCCTGATGGGGAATCCTCAGATAGAAATAATATGTTTCTCTAGTGATATGTAGACTTGCAAAGGCTCATGTGCAAATATTGGCTTAATTTTTTTCCCTATTAAATAGAAAAAGAACTATGATCGAGTAATGAAAGCACTGGATAGTATAACTTCTATCAGAGAAATGACACAAGTAAGTATGTCACCTTCTGGTTTTGTACAGTATATTTTTAAAATGTCTGAGACTTCTAGCTATGTAGTGAAATGTAGATTTTTCTAATGTATAGGGCATAATAGAAAGAATTTAAAATGCTGTATTAGGTTGTTTTAAATAAATTATGTCAGTATATTAGCATGATTTTGGGAAAGTGCATGGATAATCTTAATACTCTGCTTTCAAACTCAGCAAGAGCCTTGAATATATGTAGGTATGTTGAGATATTTTAAGACAAAGGTTAAATCTGGTTCTGTCTTTCTATAAGGTAAATTTAAATTGGTAGTAGCAATTTAAAAACATTATTTTAATGTTACAGTAAAACCAGAAATATTCTTTAAAATGAAAATTTTGTTTAAATATTTTAGATAAGACACAGAATCTCAAAACCACTTTTGAAGATGCCAGCCTTTCTGAGAATATGAGTTTATACTTTGGGTCCTTAGGAAGGTTTTGGAGGAAAAGTGTGGTGAGCAAGGATCAGGTTGTTTTTTTTTGTGGAAATCTAACACATTCGTGGGCTGTAGCCTAACCCTCGGAATTGCACACACAGTTGAATTATTGAGACCTTTCTACTGATGAAGGCTTGGAGAGAGATTTAAAATTCATCATTGTAAGTGGAAAGTAATAATCTAAGATTGGCAACAACTCACATTATGTGTACAGCTTGCATATAGTGGTTTCGAGGCTTACACTGCCTTAGAGTATTACTTCAGGTCCTTTAGTTTTCTGGGTAAGGAATAGGGGGATCCTCATGTCCCAGGACCCACTTAACTTCTGCCTTCTCCACCCCTAGCATCTTCTCTACTCCTCTATTTGCAGGCAGTACTCCAAAAGTACATTTCCAATTTTGATTCTTTACTTTTTTGATTATTATTTATTCATCAGAGTCAAACATTATTTCAGCAAATAGGATGTCTCAGACAAATGGTAAACAAGAGATCCTTTAATTCGCAAGTGCTATTATTTGCTCCACCATCCCTTCCAGTTGTTTTTCTTTGCCTGTACCTTTCTGTATTATCTGCATTTTTTTTCAAGCAAGCATTTGTTATTTGTATAGGGAAAGAAAACAATAAAATGCATTCCACTTAGAAAAAAATAGCTTATTGCAATACCTTACACAAAGTTAAATAAATAGTTTTAGTCAAGAAAAAGACTCTGGTAGAAGGTATTTATACTATATCCTAGATCCTGATTATTCTTGGATTTAAAAATAGCTACAAACTCTGACTCTGGAATCAGCTCTCTGCCAAAAATTGCTTCCTTTATTCTAGGTCATGTGTAAGCTATTTTAATAGTAGGCAATGGAGACGATTGAGCGTCAGCCTAGGAAGTGAGATGCCAAATTGTGTAACTGGCTCGTCAATGAATGTGGCCTGTGACCTTGGATGAGTTACTTTCTTGCTTGGTGCCTCAGTCTCTTCACTACTGAGGTAGAAATAATAACACTGCACCCTCTTTCAGTGTGTACTGAACAGGAATAGTGTCAAGTTTTATGATGTCAAATTCTTTAAACTTTTCAGAATAAATATAACATGACACTGTCCTATTTTCTAGAATGTAGAAAATAGATAGCTCTCTAGATAGCCCTAAATTGTCACCGAGGGATTGATCTTTGTTCTGCGAAATGGTTAATTGTCTGGGTGAATCCCATTGCATACTTTTTAGAGAAGGGTTCTTCTTTTTCAATTTTGTCCAATTTTTTCATATAAAAATCTTCACCTAAGTCTGTGCCCTCAGATATTTGAATGCACAGTAACTATCACAAGTTTTGCTTTAATGTCAGTTAGAAATTAAAAATGGTCATTGTCTACAAGAGGCTTTACAGGACACTTGTTAAAGGTGGTAAGACAAATTTTATTCAGAGCACTGCAGTAGGAAAGAGACTGCGGCATAAACTTAGCTCAACTTCAGCTAAGACAAAGGTGACTGAGGTTTTTAAAGGTAAAGGAGTTAAAGGGAAGTGTAAGCGAAAGAAGCTAGGGGAGTTGTGTGGAAATGGCAAGTTATAGAAGTAGGTAAGTGGAGAATTACTGAAAATGGGGAAAATGAATTTCTAAGAATAATCAAGGAGTATTATCACTCTTTTCTCTTAGGCACCATATCTGGAAATCAAGAAGCAGATGGATAAACAGGACCCCCTTGCTCATCCCCTACTGCAATGGTATAAAATTTTAGTTTTCCTCTTAATAAAAATGCCATCTTTTTCTACTGTTTGCGTTAAGAAAGAAAGAAAGAAAAAAAAAAAGCCTATTTCACAAGCTCTGCAATGCTACAGTTCTACTAGCCTATGAGACCTGGTGATTTTACAACCCAAGAATTTTTAATGACTCTCACTTTAATTAAAACTTGTACATCACAAGGGAAGAAAATGCTGTCATACGCACTACCAGGGATGTGCAATGGATTTGACAGCAGTTTGCCTATAGTTTTAAAAGATGTGATTAACTAGATATATGGTGAAGGCATTTTGGGTCATTTAATAAAGACTTAGTGATAAAACTTGCTGTTTTAATTGCTATTATTGAAAATCTTTATAATTTAAAATATGTATTTTGTGACTTTTGCTCCCTTAAAAAAGATAGTTTAAATATGATTAACCCTTTGCTTGGCCACTGCAGAGATGCACTGTTTCAGTGTGAGCCTGGTGAGGGAATGTAGCATTAACCCAATCTGGATTCTAGGAGGACCAGACTAGGAAGAGGATAGGTGGCTTCAGAACTCATCTTACTGCAATGTCCATTTCAAATAATTTTCTCTCTCTACTTCAAATAATTTGTCCTCTTGTTTCTTACTTGCAAAGTGAAGACAATAGTATCTACTCAGCATACTTTTTGTCAGGGTCTATAAACATGTCTCTCTCAAATCATTTTGAAAACTCAAAGACCAAGTGATTTGTCATATAATTATACAAGTGTAAGGATTCTAAGAAATTGGTCTGAATGAACACTTATTCCATGCTACAGCCAGACGTTTATAAAATATGTAAAGTTGGGCAGAGGAAAAATTAATTTTTTTTAGCTTTCACTTAGTAGAAATTTTACAAAATATATGTTTAATTTAGTCTAGTAAGACTATGAAAAAAATTAGGTATAGAAGTTTTCTTCTGCTTATCTGTTTATGATCTATTATTAAAATTCTGACACATTAAGTAAAATAACGTGATTTTCATTTTAACCTTAAAATTGTCTCATGGTCATGTTTAAATCGAAGGTAAAAAAATTTTACATATATAATCACTTTCTTTTTTTCCTTGAAACCAGTCTGTTAATTATTTTTGATCGTTTCCTCCAGCCTGTTAAAGAAAGTCAACCAAAATTCACCTACTTATTATTTTATATACTGAAAAGCATAAAAGAGTTCCTTTTTTCAGTTATCTGAGTTTATTTTTTTCAACTGCAGTGTCTAAATATGTTGAATTTTAAACTATTATATATATTAATTCAGAGAGATCTTCAAATAGTTAAAGAAAAATAATCTTGGTAAGAACTTATTCTTGGCCTTTCATGGTGGCTCACGCCTATAGTCCCAGCACTTTGGAGGCCAAGGTGAGAGGATTGCCTGAGCCTATGGATTCTAGACCAGCCTGGGCAACTTGGCGAGACCTCATCTCTACAATAAATCAAAAAATTAGCCAGGCGTGGTGGCATGTGCCTGTAGTTCCAGTTACTTGGAAGACTGAGGCTGAAGGATCACCTGAGTCCAGCAGATCAGCACTGCGGCAGCTGTGAGTGTGCCACTGCACTCCAGCCTAGATGACAGAGGGAGACTTCAACTCAAAAAAAAAAAAAAAAAAAGAATTTATTCTTCATCTTGGCAATGTAGACAGGAGCAGAAGAAGCATATGCATGAATGAATTGCTCATGTTTTTATATAGGTTATCATTATGTGAAAATACATTCAGAAATGTTTATTTTGCTGATATTTAAAGTTATGCTTATTGAAAACTTTATTTTCTTAGGTTTTAAGGAACTGTTTCCCAGTGTGTTTTCTCAGATTACCATAAAATATGATCTTTTTTGCTATGTCATTTTGGTTGACTTCCAAAACAGCTCTTTAAGTTGTTTTGGAAGCAAACCAAAATTACATAATTAAATAAAATTATCACCAAATTTAGTTTAAGGCTTAGCAAAAATAAGTTTCAATCACTTGCCAACTAAGAAGAAAAACTTTAAATATTTTTGACTTATATTTGTGACTGATGGATCATTTTAATTTCAGGGTTATTTCAAGTAATAGGTCACACATTGTGAAACTGCCAGTTAACAGGGTAAGTTATCTTTTCACATATTCATACAGAAGTAGAAGAAGTACATATTAGTTGCGAGAATGGACCACTGTGATTTTTAAGCAGCCTCTCTCAGAACTGAAGTAGACCCAGGTTGAAAATTAAATTGAAATTTAAATTGAAAGTTGAAAATTAAATTCTTTAATTTGAAATTACCATTTGTGTACCAGCTCCAAATCTTTCCAGGATATCAAATTCAAATTTAGGCTGTTATCCTGTCCTTGTAAGGTGATAAAAAACATCAATATGAGATCATGTGGTCCTTCCACAAGTAAAGTCATAGAAAAATAAGTATCTAGAGACTTACCAGAAGAAAGTTAATGTGCTTTTTAACATTGTCAGTTTCCTGTTGGTGCATTTCCACTATTCTATATCTTAGAGTATATATTCTATCTCACTAGCCTAAGTTCTGATCGTCACCTAGGAGCAGTATCTAAAAATCTCATTTTCCCCATCTATGAATCTCTAAATGTGGGATTCTTATGTATTATGGTCCTGCATAACTATATTCTGATGTGAAAGGAAAACAATTAGAAAATTTTGTTAAGCTTTTAATCCAGAAGGTTCTGCTTTAAACTTTTTCCATGACAAAAGGGGAAACTATATTTGAATGTAGGCAATTTTCAATTTGATAAATATATGCAAATAAAGGCTAATGATAATGTTTGCAATTTTAAAATCTTGAACTAACTTTTCTTTTCTACTTAGCAAACTTCAGAATCTTTCCCCAGAAGAACAACCAGTATAAACTTAGGGATTCAATAATAAAAGCCTGAAAAGAAATATAATTAAGAAGGCAGATCTGCTTGAACATGATTACATACTGTATTCCAAAGCCAAATAGAAATGACTTTGGATTATCTGTCTCCTGTTTCTTTCTCATTAGCCTAAAGAATTATCCATCATATCTGCAATTTCATTTAACTTATTATTTATGCAGGGTTTTAAAAATACTTCATGGGCTAAGCATAGTGGCTCATGCCTGTAATCCTAGCACTTTGGGAGTCTGAGGTGGGAGGATTGCTTGAGGCCAGGAGTTTGAGACTAGCCTAGGCAATAAGATCCTTGTCTCTACAAAAAAAACCACAAAAAATAAAGAAATTAGCTGGACTTTGTGGCATGTGCTTGTAGTCCCAGCTACTAGGAAAGTTAAGACAGGAGATCACTTGAGTTTAGGAGGTTGAGGCTGCAGTGGATTGTGATCATGCCTCTGTACTCCAGCCTGGGCAGGAGATCCTATCTCTAAAAAAAATAAATAAATAACAAAATAAAAAAATTACAAGTTAGCTTGTTAATGTGATTAATGCTAAATTACTGTAGTTTGAAACTGGATAATTCTTACACCAGTAAAATTTGAAATTGTCTTCAGCTTGATTGTATGTTAAGTTTAACATATTATCATTTGTCATCATTTTAAATGGCAGCAATTGAAGTTTATGCATACTCCACATCAGTTCCTTCTTCTCAGCAGTCCACCAGCCAAAGAATCCAATTTTAGAGCTGCTAAAAAACTCTTTGGAAGCACCTTTGCATTTCAGTGAGTATGGCTTCATGTTAATTGGGGGTGTTTCACACCGTTTTCCAGAAATGTGTTGGGGAGAAACATTCCTTCCAGCAGTTGGCCATTAATGTTGAATAGTCAACTATATGATACATATCTTGGAAACTTTGAACCTTCAGAAAGCAGGCATCATGACTTATGTTGTAACCTCACTTTTTAAAAAAATCATTGATTTTTCTGATTTTGTCTTTTCCTTTCCATTTTTTTAGTGGCTCACACATTGAAAACTGGCATTCCATCCTGAGGAATGGTCTGGTTGTTGCTTCTAATACACGATTGCAGGTAAGTTTCTGAATGCTTTCACAAGGCCTCTTCAGTATTGAGGTTTAGTAAACAATCCTGATGTTATGTTTTTACTTGCAAAGCGTGAGACATGTGAGTTTTAAAACATTCTATGGAATTTCTAATAGACATAAGTACATTTTCACAAAAGAACTGAAGCAACATTGTTCTGTGCATAATGATCTAAATACAAAACTGATCTATATACATTGTAAAGAAAAAAGAAAGTTGAGACTCCTATGAGAAAATGGCAAAACAAATCACACTTTGAAGTAGAAAAAAATGTTCATGCACAAAGTAAAATCATACAGGCATTCAGTCCATTAATCCATTGTACATCTCTTGAATATTTGGCCTTAGTATGAATTTTTTTAGAGAGGAAAATGTAGAAATAAGCAAAGTGGAGATTGGATACCAGAGAGCCATCCTGACACCCTCATGTCAGCCTCCAGGGCAGTACTGGGTATTGGCAGGGTATTATGGATACCATCCTCGTCTTTCCTCATGTCCTTCATCTTGTATATTTCACTTTACCCTCATACTACTGAAATTTTCATCTTACAACATAGGGACATCAGGAAGTGTGACACTGCTAGATCTCCTAATAGGATGGCATTCGAGGTGATTCAATTAAATGTAAATGTCCATAAATGCACATTTATTGAATTAGCATTCTGTTCATACTAATACGGTTTGAGGACTTTAGAACATAGTGATGTTAAGAAAGAAGTTTAATGTTTTGAGTAGCTTCTTAGACCAGCTGAAGGGTTTCTGTTAATGAAACTCCTATAACTTGAAAAATTTAGAGGATGATAAGAACGGATGACAGTGTTGTTTCATGAAACTCTGAGTAGGACACTTTTTCTATATACTACTAATAAGTGAGTCCTAATTGAAATGCCTTCCCATGCTTTTCAATCTTGGTTTTGTTTTTGGAATTTTATATTTATTAAAATAAAAGTCTACTAATATATATAAGTGACTGTCTTTGTAACTAATAGGATGGAAAACATTTATCAAGATTCTATTTCCGAGCTGGGCTCGGTGCCTCAGCCTGTAATCCCGCGCCTTTGGGAGGCTGAGGTGAGTGGATTGCCTGAGCCTGCAGGTTCGAGACCCGCCTGGGCAGTGAGACCTCATCTCTACAATAAATCAAAAAAATCAACCGGGCGTGGAAGCGCATGCCTGTAATTCCGGCTACTGGAAAGGCTGAGGCGGAAGGATCACCGGAGCCCAGCAG